GTTCAAGACCAGCCTGGCCAATATGGTGAAACCCTGTCTCTACTAAAAATACAAAAAAAAAAAAAAAAAAAAAAAAAAATTAGCCAGGCATGGTGGCACGATCCTCTAGTCCCAGCTACTCCGGAGGCTGAAGCAAAAATAATGCTTGATCCCAGGAGGCGGAAGTTGCAGTTAGACAAGATTGTGCCACTTCACTCCAGCCTGGGCAACAGAGAAACACTCCTTTAAAAAAAAAAAAAAAAAAAAAAAAAAAAGACTATATAAACCAACAAAATTTTTAAAAAACACTGAATATACGGCAGACTATAAAGATTATTTGGAAATTTCAAATAATTTTTATAAGATATGAAAGAGAAAAAATAGATATACTTGTTTAGAAAAAAATGGTCTTTTAGATATCAATGTTTGCATAAAAGAGTCAAATTGCTTCCAGAAAAAGAAATCCCAAAGTTCTTTTATACTTGAAAATACTGTCTTCTTTTTTAATTTTTGAAGCATTTATTTCTTTTTTAATCTTTGAAGCATTTTTATTTTATAGTACGGCATTTTTAAATACTATTGAATATTGTATATACATGAAAGTCGATCAAGTAGAAATATAATAAATTATGTAATTCTAATTGTTAATAGGTTCCATTTTTTTATGAGGAAAAAAAGAAACATCTTTGGAAATTTTAAAAATCTAATTTAAAGGCTCCTACCCTGTGATATGTCTCAAGACTTAATCTAAATTAGTTACTGATATGTAATGCAAATATATTTGTGTTATAAAACTTTTAAATAACATTTCCAATGATATCTATAATTTACTACAAAATATTTTAGAATCATATGATATTTGGCTAAGCTTTAATGAAGAATTAATCAATAGTCTAGGAGTTAGGTATTTATGCTAACATAATGATCAGAAGTGCGTGGCTGCTATTGATCTCCTAGTTTGCAATCAGAGTTTCAAAAAAAGAAAACAAAAAGAAACACCTCAGTCATTTAGTAATGTAATTACATTACTGAATTTCTGAAATGTGTGGGTTTTTGTTTTTTGGGTTTTTTGTTCGTTTTTGTTTTTTTGTTTTGTTTTTGTTTTAGAGACGACGTCCTGCTCTTGTCGCCCAGACTGGAGTTCTGCTCACTACAACCTCTGCCTTCCAGGTTCCAGTAGTTCTCGTGCCTCAGCCTCTCTAGTAGCTGGGGCTACAGATATGTACCACCATGCCCAGCTAAGGTTTTTGCCACGTTGGCCAGGCTAGTCTCAACATCTGATGTCAGGTCATCTGCCTGGCTCAGCCTCCCGAAGTGCTGAGATTACAGGTGTGAGCCAAGTGTACAGTTTGTATTACTTTTCTTTTTGCTTGTTTGTTGTTGTTTGTAATCCAAGAAAACTTGTGATCTGTTTAAAATGATTGATTATAACATGTTATTTGCAAGCCCTATGGTAATTTCAAATAAAAAAAAATCTACAGCCGGGTGCCATGGCGCATGCCTGTAGTCCCACCTACTTGGGAGGCTGAGGCTGGAAGATTGCTTGAGTCCGGGAGTTCTGGGCTGTAGTGCCCTATGCTGATTGGGTTTCTACACTAACTTTGCAATCAATATTGTGACCTCTCATGAGTGGGGGACCACCAGGTTGCCTAAGGAGGGGTGAACTGGTGAACTGGCCCAGGTCAGAAATGGAGGAGGTCAAAACTCCCATGCTGATCAGTAGTGGGATTGTGCTTGTGAATAGTCACTGCACTCCAGCTTGGGCAACATGGCAAGATCCCATCTCTTAAACAAACAAATAAACAAACAAAAAACCACCTAAAATAGATACACAGAAAATAAAAAGCAAAAAATTAAAATATATTACTACAGAAGATTAGTTTTATACAAACGCAGACATAAAGGAAGAGAGGACCATTAAACAACCAGAAAACCACAAACTGGCAGGAGTAAATCTTTACCAATTAATAATAGCATTAAATGTAAAGGGACCAAACTTTCCAATCAAAAGACATAGGAGGGTGGAATAGGTTTCACAAAATAAATAAAATGTAATAAAATAAATTATGTGCTGTCTTCAAGAAACACATTTCACCTATAAAGACACATGTAGGTTAAAAACAAAGGAATGGGAAAAGATATTTTATGCAAATGGAAACCAAAGAAGAGCAGGAGCAGCTATTATTGAATCAGATAAAACAGATTTAAATAGAAAACTACAAAAAGTACAAGGAAGGACATGATGTAATGAAAAATGGGGTCAATTCATCAGGAGAATACAACAATTTTATATACGCACCCAACGCTGGAGCATCAATATATATGAAGCAAATATTACTAAAAATAAAGAGAGAAATAGACATCCATACAATAATAGCTGGATACCTCAACATCCTACTGAAAGTAGGACAAACTATACAGACAGAAAATCAACAAAGAAACATTGGACTTATTCTGCACCACAGGCCAAATGTACCTAATAGATATTTACAGAACATTTCCTCTAACAGCCATGATATACACATTATTTTCCCTAGTAAGTGGATTGTTCTCAAGGACAGGTCATATATTAAGGCAAAAATTGAGACAGAAAACTCAAAAAAAAATTCAAATCACAATAATTAAAGACTTAAATGTAACACCTGAAATTATGAAACTACTAAAAGAAAACTTTGGGGAAATTCTCCAGGACATTGGTGTGGGCCAGTGTTTCTTGAGAAATACCTCAAAAGCACAGGCAACTAAAGCAAAAATGGACAAATGATATCACAGAAAGGTAAAAAGGTAAAAAGCTTCTGTGCAGCAAAGGAAACAATCGGCAAAATGAAGAGACAATCCACAGAATGGAGGTAAATATTGGCAAACTACCCATCTGACAAGAAATTAATAAACAATATATTAAGAGATACAACTCAATAGAAAAAAATCAAATAATATGATTTTAAAATGTGTAAAAGATCTGAATAGACATTTAACGAAGGAAGACATACAAATAGCCAACAGGCATAAGTAAATACACTCAACATCATTAATCATCAGAGAAAAGCAAATAAAAATCACAATGATATTCATCTTACACCAATTAAAATTGCTTTTACCCCCAAAACAGGCAATAATAAATTGTGAAAAAATGGAAACCCTTGTACATTGTTGGTGGGAATGTAAGTACAGCTACAGTGGAATGTAGTATGGAGGTTCCTCAAAAAACTAAAAATAGAGCTGCCATGTAATCTAGCAATCCCACTACTAGTTAATACAGGGGTCCCCAAACTTTTTACACAGGGGGCCAGTTCACTGTCCTCAGACCATTGGAGGGCCAGACTATGCAAGGTGTGACACCCTTCACAGCCAGCACTGCTGCCTCCACTATCCCAGACAGCGGTATACAGTGTCACAGGCCCAGCACCACCTCCAGTGCTGTATACAGGGATGGCGGTGATCAGCCTGTGACACTGTGTATACAGTGTCCTGGACATCTGCAGCAGCGGTGGGCCTCTTCTGTGGGAAGCCCACTGCTGCATTTTTCCCCTATTATAAGACACCTCCTAAAAATAAGACAGCCCCATCTTTTGAGGGTAAAATTAATATAAGACAGGGTCTTATAATAGGGAAAACTTGTGTAGTAATGTTGGGGGAGACTTTTGGGCAAAGAGAGGTTATAGGGGCCATTATGTTGTTGTACATTTAGGGGAGTATGGGGGCCATTGTACTGTGTAGTAATGGTTATAGTGCTTTGCCTTTCTTCCTACTTCTGCTGTTATTTCACACTGCTTCTGGTGATGTGGGGCGCCGCAGCTGCAGACCGGATGTGCGTCATATGATGCGCTTCCGGAGCCGTGACACGTGTGTCCCGCATCACTGGAAGTAGTACTGTATGTGAGCGACGCCGCACTTTGTGGCGCCGCTCACATACAGTACTCCAGGAACACAGGATCTGCATCCTGTGCTCCTCTCACTGACCACCAATGAAAGAGGTGCCCCTTCTTGAAGTGCAGTGGGGGCTGGATAAATGGCCTCAGGGAGCCACATGTGGCCCGTGGGCTGTAGTTTGGGGACCCCTGAGTTAATACATCCAAAAGCAAGAAAATCAGTATCTCAAAGCTATATCTGAACTTTCATGTTTATTGCAGCATTTTTCACAATAGACAAGAATTAGAATCAACCTAAGTATTTACCAACAGATAAATTGATAAAATATGTAGTACATTTTCATTGTTTATAATTCCTAATATTAATAATCTTTTATGATACAGAAAGCACTTTTACACACTAATTTTATTAAATGTTGGGCTAACATCAGTTTTATATGTTCATTGTACTATGATACATCTAACCAAGTGGGGAAAAAACCCAGTGTAGCTTATCTTTATTACAACTAAAAACTTAGGTCAACAACCTGAGGACTCTGAATAGTAAAACAATGTAACCAGATTGAGGCACAGAGTCAAAAGTTAAAGTTACCTGTATGGGTTGCATGTAAGTATTAACTTTTTTGCATGCTGTCTCTCACATGCTGTCTCTCTTTTTCTCTCTCTCATCACATGTAAGTTTGATTATTTGCATATAGCACAGTATGAATAAGTATTTGCTATATAAGATCCTTTACATACTAGCTTTGAAGAAACTGTTCTATTTCAGAAAAGACTTTTTAAAGCCTTAACCCCAGTCATGGTTTATTTGTGCCATTAAATAACTTTGTGAGTTGGATATATTTCTCTCCTTTTGAGCTCTCAAGATAACTTACGGCTCCTCAGCTTGTTATAAAGTTACATTCTATTGTCCAGACACAGTGTCAAAAAAAAAAAAAAAAAGTTACATTCTTTACTTACCATATGTAACAAACTCTGTATAAGGACTGTATAGACAAGGTATGAGGTCAGTTTTCCCAAAGTCTTTAATTGACTTTGTAAGTCACATTTTATTTCTGAAAGGAAAGTATGCCATTCCAATCAAAGCTTTGGTAAAAGAACCAGTTTCTCAAATTTTGTCCTTTTGCAAATGAAAACATATTCTTTAAAAAAAAAATTATGGAATGCTTCATGAATTTGCATGTCATCCTTGTGCAGAGGCCATGTTTATCTTTGTGTCATTCTAATTTTAGCATATGTATTGCCAAAATGATCATAGAAAACAAATTCTTATTACACTTATGCAAATAAATATATTGCCGTAAGTTGAGAATACTCAAAAATAGTTGAGAAACCAGATAGAGAGAAATATGCTCCAAATTTTGTTCATAGGATTATATATTACCCAATTGGTAAAAGCTGTAAATAGCTCAAAAGTTTTCTTCACTTTAAAAAATGAAGAATTAGCAATGTTTTAAGCAGAATCATAAAAGGATGATTTTACCCTCCTATTTGTTCAGTACACGCAGTTAACTACTGTTTTTTATTGAATGTGTGAACATTTCGTCGCTCCATGGGAGTCCTAAAAGTTTTTAACTCTTTTCTAAAGTCACAACTTCCAAAGTTATCTGAAACCTGCATTTAAGAACACCTATTGATAGTTTAAATAATAAAAACAGACTTTGAAAGAATACACAAGAAATGCAAGACAGCGGTATGTTTGGAATGTGAGAGGTTAAGATAAAAGTGCACCATTTAATAACATAAATTATGTGAGCATTTTGCCTATTTTGAAGTTAAGTCTATTAACTAAAATATAACAAATTACATTAACTAACGCTTGAGAAACTCAGATTGTTTCTCACCACAAATGTAGAAAATTTTAATAAATTTATAAGAATCAAAGACAGATGTATAAAATATTAACACATTAAGACCAATGAAATTTGGCTGAGAATAGAAAAATATCTAACAGGTTAAATGAGCAAAAACACTTATATTAAAAAAGAAAGGAAAACATTTTATGTAATTTAAGATTCATTTATTATGAAATAATTTCAAAAATATAAACAGAAAGATACATCTCAGCCTTAGGGAATAGCTATCAACCATTTATATAATTAATGTTAAATATGTAGATATAGGCCCACTAAGATGAGATTCAAAGCAAACATGCAAAATTTTATTCCTAGTTAATATTTTATTTGATATCTTAAAATCTGTCTTATACAGACAATTATAAAACTAGCAAAAAATTAGGAAATCTAAGCAAAACTATCAACAAATTAGTTTATTTTAAGCAAATCGAAAGGACTCTATCGATATCCTAAATTTACTAAGAGACAAGATCAGCAATATCGTGATGAAAGATTAATGTTAAAACTGTTTTTATGGTAATTGTAGTAAAAACAAAAATAGATTAATGTAGTAACAAAATATGTTTTATACAGAGTTATAGATTTCTTAAGGTCAAATTTCAGAGATTTCTAACTGCTTCCAAAGTAGCTTATACTTTAAGTAACAAACAGTGGTACAAATTTACTTGTCAGGGAAGCAGCATATTTAGAATGTCACTACAAAAAAGATTAATCTAAGACCTATTAAAAAAAAAAGATTGCAAATAGGAGAGAGGGTAGGTGATAACCTTGCTTGTTATTCTACTTTTATACTCTAGATCATTAGTATTAAGGCCCTGTAGGGAAATAATTAGTGACAAATAGAACTGAAGAGTAGAATATAAATACATTTGTATAAATATAAATACCATGGTGATAGAATTTTAACAACTTAACAACTTATTAGTTATAAGATACAGAATTCAAATGCTCTCCCTGGGTGATTCAGGATGCAATTAACTAAATTAAAAAATGATAGAGATATAAAATTTAATGAAGGCCAAGAGAATATAAGACCCTTAGAGAAGAGGAAAAAGGGACTGAGAAAGTATCATGGTGGATTGGAAGCAATTAAATAAGATTTGTTTGTGTTTATTTGTATGTGAGTCAGTGTATATAATCTGTAAATAAAAAGAGCATAAAAAATCAGTAGAAGAGTCTTAGTATTTATCTCGTTTACATTTTTAAAACATTTTACAATTTAAACATTGGTATAGCTAATTTTATTTATTTATTTATTTTTTTGAGACGGAGTTTCGCTCTTGTTACCCAGGCTGGAGTGCAATGGCACGATCTCGGCTCACCGCAACCTCCGCCTCCTGGGTTCAGGCAATTCTCCTGCCTCCGCCTCCTGAGTAGCTGGGATTACAGGCATGCGCCACCATGCCCAGTTAACTTTTTGTATTTTTTAGTAGAGACGGGGTTTCACCATGTTGACCAGGATGGTCTCGATCTCTTGACCTTGTGATCCACCCGCCTCGGCCTCCCAAAGTGCTGGGATTACAGGCTTGAGCCACCGCGCCTGGATTAATTTTATTTATTAACTTGACTGGGCCATCATATTCAGATCTGTGGCCATACATTATTCTGGATGTTTATTTGATGGTGTTTTCGGATGAGATCAACATTTAAGTTGGTGAATTTTGAGTAAAGTGGATTACCCTCCGTAATGTGAGTGGGCCACACCCAATCAGTTGAAGGTCTGACTATAACAACCCGCTGACCTTCCTCTAGCTAGACAAAATCCTTCAGCAGAAGAAATTCTTCAGCAGGTGGCTATGAGATTTCAGCTGAAGATTTTAGACTTGCTAGCCTCCATAATTCTATTAATTAATCCTTAAATCTTTCTGTATTCTTTGTGTCACTTTATGACAGAGATATATTCAGAGAAATGTGTGGTTAGGCGATTTCGTTGCTGTGTAGACATCATAGAGTGTACTTACACAAATCAGATGGTATAGGCTAGTGCACACCTAGGCTATATGATTTTGCCTATTTCTCCTAGGCAAAAGCAACTGTGACACATTAATATTTATACATATTTAAATGTATCTAAACACAAAAAATACTGGAAGAATAAAATATTATTATTATTTAAAGATGTCATGCTCTGTCATCAAGAGCTAGGGTGCAGTGGCATGACAGTAGCTCACTGTAGTCTCAAACCCTTGGGCTCAAGAGATCCTCTAGCCTCTACCTCCCAAGTAGTTGTAACTCGACATGCACCACTGCACCAGGCTAAGTAAAAGAAATTTTTATGGGTAGGATGTTGCTGTGTTGTCCAGGCTGGTCTCAAATTCCTGGCCTCAAGCCATCCTCCCACCTCAGGGGGCTTCCTGAGTAGCTTGGATTACTAGCCTAAGCCACTGATACTGCAAAAATACAGAATTATAATTTCATGGAACCATGGATATATTTGCTGTGTATCCTTGACTAAAATGGCTTATGGGGTCTATGACACTGTACACAAACACAACACACACAGGCATTCCACATACACACACACACACACACACACACACACACACCCATTAGTTATTTTTCTGAATAATTCTAATACAATCATTCTGTCTCATTTTTTCTAATTTTTTAATATAATCAGATTAATGAGCTCACTGTTATAATTAAAATCCATCTTCTCTACTCCTTCTCATCTCCCTTGTAGAAGGGAGGCTTAGGAGGGCACTACCCTAATTTATTTTTGATTTTTATTTTCTTATAGTTAATCTGAACATTTTTATTTTATTGGCTTTATTACTGAATGTTAGAAACTGAAAAGGATCTATTTCTTGCACTCACATATATTGAGCTCTTGTCATTTGGTCTGTTTCAGTGAAAATACTTCATTTTCAGAATCCCTTTTCCACCATTGTAAAAGCTTTAGAGAAATAAAAAGTAAAAGTGAATCTTTTTTTGTGGCCTCCCTAACTTTTTAAAGTCTGAATTTCAAAACACATTTTCCTCTTATAATTTCATGTAATAAATTTTGAATCTGTTCTTGTGTGTATTATACGCACAACAAATTAGTCTTTATTTTTCACTGATTCTGTGAATTGCTAGGCCTTGCCCGCATTTCCAATTAGGATTAATGATACCATCCATTTATGTGATAGCAGCCTTAAAAGTTTCCATGAGTTGCCATTCTCTTTCTCCTCTTTCATCTCTATCCTCTTATTTCCAAATAATAAAGAAAAAGAACAGACTACTGCTAATGCAACAACCAGAATTAATGTCACTAATATTGTCTAAGCAAAAGGACCTAGATAAAAAAGTACTACATAATATGCATACCTATTTATGTACATTGCAAAAAATATATATCTATGTTGATATGTCAGCAAAGGTGATCTTTGAAAGGATATTGACTATAAGGAGTCTTGAGAAATGCTTACAAGATGCAGGTAAATTTTGTACAGAAGAGTCACGACTGAGATAAATGTAACCTTAATGGGCACTCTTTATCTCTTACATCCATTAATAAGAAATGTTGAGTCAATTTAGTCAGTAGTTAAGCTGAGTTTGAGTTTTCTTACTGGCACTGTAACCTTCATAGTACCGCAAGGTGGCTCATAGTTTGATCAGGTAGCTAACTGATTTTGGAAAGAAGAAGTGTAATACTTAGAAGAGAACACAAGCTTGGTACCAATGGGTGTGACTACACACCAGGCAGAGGAGGAGACTTGTTCTTCCATGTTGCTTTATTAATATTCTTTTAGTGTGAATGGGTACGTGGGTTTTGGGAATGAGAAGTGGTCTGAAATAATTGCAGATGACTATGTATAAAGCATTTGTTTCATTGTTGCCCCTCTCCGCATTTTTTATAAGAAAATATATAAATACTAAATCTCCTAAGAACTTCTTTGAAAAAAAAAAAAAAACAAAACAAAAAACAAAAACCACAGATGCTTCTGTGATCAACACTTTTACTGGGTGCACCCTAAAGCTGGCTCTATAAACTTCAATGATTTGAGACTTACGCCTCAATTACTCAGTTTGGTTGTCAAAACTTTGCAAGACTAAATATGATGTTTAATCTCACATTTTTGATTTTCATAATTACTGAATAATTTGGGACACTTGTATTTCTTGTGTTAGCTGTCTCATATATATACTTCCTATATATGGGAGAATGAGATGTACATAAATTTTCTTCCTATTTTACTGCCCAATTCTTATGCTTTTACAACAATTTTATATATAAAAGATATTAAAACTTAAACTATCATATATGTAGCTAACAATTACAATTTGTAATTTTATTGTCAAATTTAATGTGTTTTGTGCTTTTGAAACACAGACATATCAAAATATAGTAATTTAATTTTTTAAATTGTACTTTAGGTTCTGGGATACATGTGCAGATCATACAGGATTGTTGCATAGGTAAGG